CAGGCCGATCGTAGCAAGAAAATTCAAAATTTATTGAATTTTGGATACGTGACCGCCATATTGGATCCGCCATTTTGAATTTTGAAATTCTCACTTCAGATTCGTAATCTACGTAATCCAAAAACCTTAAAAATGAAACCGCGTATACTTTGCAACCCTTTCTAAAAAAAAAAACTCATTTTAATAACGTTCAAGTCGGAGAAAACTCTTGCGCAGGGGAGGGGGCGGGGGGGTTAATTCACGCATTTGTTTATCTCTCAACAACCTATTTCTCAACCACCGTCAAGAAATGTCCCGGAAATAGTGCTTTTGCATCGGGCAACCCCAGGCTGCACGTCCTCGAACACAGCGATACGCGGCGATTGCTGGCTGGTCGCTGCACGCCGCATTGCGTGTGCAGATCTCTCTCTCTCTCTCTCTCTCTCTCGTTCAGCGAAACGGACCTACGGCGTCTTTACCGTAACGCGTAATACCGCGCTCCTCTTTGCACCGGCCGAGGAGAGCCGGAGGCGATGATTAGGGCGGAGGGCACGGTGATGCACGCACGACTTGTCAAGTGGAGCATCCCGCGCCGCTTCCCAGAACGCGAATCGCCGATCGCCGCCGTTTATCGCGATTACAGCCGGCCGGTCCGGCCCGTTTCGTTACGCGGCCCGAGCCGCGGGAATCTCGCTCGCTCGCTCTCACGGCTGCGCTTATCTTATCTGGCGATTCGCGAGAGAGAGAGAGAGAGAGAGAGAGAGAGAGAGAGAGAGAGCTCCCCGACACAGGAACTGCGCGCTCTTCCGATCAGGACGCGAGCAGTTCGCTGCTCGACTCGTCGGACGAGCGGCAAGCGGACTCGGTCGTCCGTCTTGCCGAGACGGATTCCCTCGGGGCCTTGGCCTTTCGGTTTGCCACTCGTACCGCGGTGCGCCGGAAGAATGCCGATTCGCCGCGGCCCTCGCGGAACTCGCTCTTGCCGGCCGCGAGGGGCCGCGGCGGGCCGGGAAGCGCGCGCGTGCGCGCGCGCTAATTAGGCGCGCGCGCGCGCCGGCCGAGGGGACGAGAGTCGCCGTCGTCGACGAGCGGCGTTCATAACCGCGCGCGCGGGTTCTCATTAAAGCGCGAGACGGCCCGACGTCGCAGCAGCGGCGGCGGCGTGGGCGAAGAAAGCGGAAGATCGCCGCCGGAGGTGGAAGCACACGAGGTTCGTTTGGCGACGTTCCTAAATCACACAATGTTCCGCTGTGTTTGGCCGCTCGCTCGAGGCCCGAGCCGGTCCCCGAGCGAGGAGTCCCGGGTTCAAAGGTTATCTCATGTCATGAGAATGCTCGACGAGCCGGCGTCGAGCCCCACGCGTGTGTGCGTGCGTGAGACATGCGTGAGACACGCGCGACACCGCCTGGCTGGCCCGCTTCTCCTCTCGCGCGACGCGTGTATCATCGTCGACTTTCGCGAGCGGAAAATGAAGCGAGAGAGCCGCGCTCTGGAAAATTATTCCTGCGGCTCTCCGCGGACGCGCGATAACGCGAGAGACGCTGCATCGACCGAGCTGCATTTTCAGACGGCTCGCGTCGTTTTATGGCTTAATTAATTGCGCGGCGCGTATCGCGCGATCACAGCTCCGCTCGCTGCTTCTGGCTCCGCCGCGCCGCGGCTGATTCTTGCGCCCGCGGGAAGTTGATTAATCAGTATTCGCGGGATTTTCACCGCACGCTCGCGTTATTGCGCGCGAGCATTGTTACAGAGTTACTCTCTCTCTCTCTCTCTCTCTCTCTCGCTCGACGGAAGCGTCGAGCGCGGTCGAATCGCGATGGTCACGGCGCGGCGTCTCTGTCGCGCAACAGCTGTTCGAATAATTAAAAAATACACAACATTAGGATATAAATATATAGGAAAGGGTACACTTCACCGATCTTTTTCATTCGTAATATGTTATAAGGGATGAAATTCTGAGTGACTTTTCCTAATACGATTATATGGAGGTCGCTTGTATAGTTTCAGAGATATTTGACCTTAAAGTTTCATAATTGTACGTTGAAGTATATTTGAGGTAGACAAGCAGTCTTCATTCACTTTAAATATAGGAAACAGTACATACAAGCGGGAGATTTTTCGATAAATATATAGAAAAGGGTGCACCTCAACGATTTCTTTTCATTTTGAAATATGTTATAAAGGATGAAATTCTGAGTGACATTTCCTAATACAATTATATGGGGAGTCGTAATATATTTAGGTAGGTAGACAAGCAGTTTCATTCACTTTAAATATAGGAAAACGAGTGACACTCAACGATTTTTTCATTTTAAATATGTTATAAAGGATGAAATTCTGAGTGACATTTCCTAATACAATTATATGGGGTCGTTTATAGATTACTTTCATAATTGTACGTTGAAGTATATTTGAGGTAGACAAGCAGTCTTCATTCACTTTAAATATAGGAAACAGTACATACAAGCGGGAGATATTTGAACCTTAAACGTTTCATCAAATTGTTACGTTTGAAGTATATTTGAGGTAGACAAGCAGTCTTCATTCACTTTAAATATAGGAAACAGTACATACAAGCGGGAGATTTTTCGATAAATATATAGAAAAGGGTGCACCTCAACGATTTTTTTTCATTTTGAAATATGTTATAAAGGATGAAATTCTGAGTGACATTTCCTAATACAATTATATGGGGGTCGTTTATAGTTTCTGAGATATTTGACCTTAAAGTTTCATAATTGTACGTTGAAGTATATTTGAGGTAGACAAGCAGTCTTCATTCACTTTAAATATAGGAAACAGTACATACAAGAGGGAGATTTTTCGATAAATATATAGAAAAGGGTGCACCTCAACGATTTTTTTCATTTTGAAATATGTTATAAAGGATGAAATTCTGAGTGACATTTCCTAATACAATTATATGGGGGTTGTTTATAGTTTCTGAGATATTTGACCTTAAAGTTTCATAATTGTACGTTGAAGTATATTTGAGGTAGACAAGCAGTCTTCATTCACTTTAAATATAGGAAACAGTACATACAAGAGGGAGATTTTTCGATAAATATATAGAAAAGGGTGCACCTCAACGATTTTTTTTCATTTTGAAATATGTTATAAAGGATGAAATTCTGAGTGACATTTCCTAATACAATTATATGGGGGTCGTTTACAGTTTCTGAGATATTTGACCTTAAAGTTTCATAATTGTACGTTGAAGTATATTTGAGGTAGACAAGCAGTCTTCATTCACTTTTAAATGTAGGAAACAGTACATATGAGCGGGAGAGGGGCTGCGCCCCTTCTCCACACCCCCTCCCCAAACGAATCCTAACCTAACCTAACCTAACTTGTTGCATCTTTATATATTTTTGGACATTGTTGAAAAAAAGTTCTCTTAAGATCTATCACCTGGTGACTCAACTTAACTTATTACAATATCCGCGTACAATTAGATGTTGTGGCTTTTAAAGAGATCTTTTCAATATCGTCCAATATTGGATATACAAATGAATGATCCAAATTTTTCAGCTAAATTCAAGATTTGTTTTAAAAGAAAGTAAAACAAACTTGTCAGTCAAAATATTCGCCGTTCGCTTCGATAACTTTCAGCCATTCTTCAGGCAGCTGATGAATTCCGTGCCGGCAAAATGGTGTGTCTTTGGACACGACAAAGTCGTCAGGCCATTTTCGGATCTCATCCGGTGATTTGAAGTGTGTATCGGATAAAGCATGTTGCATCGACCGGAACAAGTAGTAATCGATAAGAGCGATGTCAGTGAGTGCGGTGAATGCTGTGAGTTGGACGCTGTAAGACGACCCAGCTAAGCTAACCCATTATGATGTCTCTTGTCGTGGAAGCAATGTATGGCCAAGCGTTATCGCGCAACAATTTCACAGGACGTTCTCCTTTGCCACTACACGGGCGTTTACGTTCTAATTCTTGACTCAAACGGGTTAATTGTTGTTGGTAGCGGTCCGCAGTAATTGTTTCATTCGGTTTTAACAGTTCGTAATAAATCCCACCAAATGCATCAGCCAGAGCAGCAGAGTCTTCTTTCCGAAGTGTTTTGGCTTTGCGACCGATGTTGATGGTTCGCCGGGGGATTTACCCATAACTTTCTGCGCCTCGGATTGTCATAGAATATCCACTTCTCATCGCCCGTAACAATTTTCTACGAGAGAGAAACTTTCTACGCTGCTTATTGAGGAGAGAAAGACACACACTGCCACTGCGTTGATTTTTGTTGGCTTCAGTGAGTTCATGCGGGACCCATTTTCCTTCTTTCTGAATCTTTCCCATCCCGTGTAGGTTGGAAGTTTGGAAATAATTAAATTTATTGCGTTATTCCTAACTGCTCCGCGAGCTCTTTTTGCGTTTGAATTCTCAGCGAGCAGTTGCGCCAAATCATTGTTGCCGCACTCCCCAGGCACGTTCTTTGTCACTCGGCGACTGAAATCGCCATCTTTAAACCTTCCAAATCAAAATCCACACACATCGTACACGATACAACACTTTCGGCGAGAAGGGGACAAATCGATTCGCATGTTCTTACTACAGCATTTCTTCCTTGCTGAAAATGTTGTAAAGTATGCAGCGTCGAATACGCATGCATCCGTTGCTTATCCGTTGCCATTTTCGACTGTACTGAACTGAATAATTTTTCAGGTTATATCGAGCCTTCCGCCATATCAAGTGTAATTTTTAACAGCTACATGTTTCAACACGCTACATAAAAAAAAAACCATAAAAGAGCGGGAAAATTTGATCATTTTCAAACTTAATTTCTTAGCCGCTTAAAAAAGTTCGAATTATTCATTCGTACACCTAATAAATAAACAAACACCAACGACAATGTCGTCGGGCAGCCGCGAAAGCGGAAGTCGGCTAGTCCCGCCGTCAATCCCCTCGGACTTTGCGACTCGCGCCGCCGCGCCGGCTTCGTCCTGCTTTCGATCCTCGCGCGTCTCATGCGACGAGTGTTTCCAACGTTTTTCAACGTTCCCCGTTTCTGTTTCAGGATTCATCAACTGCAACGCCAACACACTGCAGTCGCTCGCGCAGCTACACGGTGAGTGGAAGCTACCTGCGTTGTTAATTTTCTTCCTTGTTTCTCCCCTTAGCCTTAGCGCGACTCCCCTAACCCATGCATACGCGTCTCTCGCGTGTTGCGTTTACGGCCATGAGAGAGATCACCGCTATGGGGAAGAGCGGATTCAATTAAAATTTATAGTTACGTAATAGCCGTGCGCGCAGGAGGTATGCGCCTTCCCGGCGAGCAATCGGGGAAACGCGGCCCTCCTTCGCAACGTTCACTTCCTCTTTCTTCATCGTAATCGCCGGGGAAGGACTGGTCGGAGAAGGGACGGGGGGGGGAAGGGGCGGCCGCGCAACCTGTACTTTGCTCCCGTCCGGAGCCGCGGCAAAAATCCTGTTTTTGATTTAGCGCGATCGCCACCGCCGCGCCGCCGTAAATTTCACGACGACTCGCGAGCGAGTGGCCGCGTAACGAACGAACGAACGAACCGCCGCCGGCGGCTTCTTGCTGCCGCGAGCTAACAAGTTCAACGGCGAGCTCACGTCCGCGGAACGGGCGAGCTGACCCGCGCGCTTGTAAATCCATCGGCATATATCGGCCTATAAATCGTTATGTAAAACTGACCCGACCGAGCGCCTGGCCGGCGCGCGTCCGATCGCTCGCGAAGACGCTCTCGCAAAGTTCGCTCGCGAGCATCTTCCGCGTCGAGTCCTCTTCTCCAAATGCAGCCTCGTTAGAGCTTTAATAGCGTTATTTAGCGACTCGTCGGCGAGTCTCGCGACGAGTTCGCGACTTCGCCGACCGGTCGCTTCTCCGCACCGTGTCGTCGCGGTCTCGTCGGCGTTCGGCGACCGGCGACCGACGGGGGTTAGCGAGTTGGAGGGGGTTGCGAGGAAAGCTACTTTGTTAAAGTATCCGGTTACAATTACCGTTTTTTTTCGCTGGGAAGATAACTAGTTGCAATTACAAGTTATCTTCAAAAATATCTTCAAATCTTCGAAAATAACATGTTACAGTTATAGTTACCTAGAAAGTAACGGGTCGTTACTTTTTTACAATAATCGTGCTGTTATTTTAAATTTCGTAATTGTGTAAATTCCTTCGATTGTATATAAAAGTAGTTTGTTGACTATTATGTTCCTCATATCGTATATAACTTTTACAGATTAGATTCATTAATTTAAATAAATAATTCATATTTATTCTTTAAGACTGTTAACAACAATTATAAGAGAGTGAGTGAATTTGATGAGGATAATAAATATTAAAAGTCCTAAAAGTAATCTCCTAACATCAAAAATTAGATCTTTTCGCTAAAAAATATATTGATATTTTATAGATAAAGATCTACACTCACATATGTTTTCTTAAATTTACAGTTGAAGTTCTACTTGCCAGAATCATTTTTTCGCCAGCGCATATTTTGCAGAGAAATGCAGAGAGTTGTTCTCATTTCCAAATGTTTGCTGTAACTCGAATATTTCTGCATACACCGACCATGGCATTTTGCAATTCTTCTCCGAAGATTGAGATGTTTTATCCGTTGCTTGAATTTTTTATATAACTGAAACCACGCAGCACACTTCACGCTGAATGCAGGTTATGTTAACTAATAAGGACTAACGACGCGCGACGGAAATGTCCAATAGGCGTACAATTTTTTTGAAAGAAGCATAGATTGCGTTCGGAGACCATCTGACGCTATTGCGTCATTTTATCCTTGTTTTATCTAACGAACGATAAAGATAGATGACGCAATAGCGCGTCTTCCAAAAGCAACCGGAATAATTGCAGTATGCTTATTGGATATCAAGCATCGATAGCGTCGCGTTATCGTGCTGATCTGCCAGAAACTTAAGTTTGAAATATATAAAGTAACTATTACATCAGTTACTAGTTATCAAACGAATATAACTAAGTTAAGTTACAGTTGCAGATGGAAGAAAACGGAACGAAGTTAAGTTACGTTATAATTACCAAAAAGAAATAACTGCAACTATAAGTTCGTTACAAGTAATGAATTAGTACTTGCCAACCCTGCCAGAAACTTAAGTTTGAAATATACAAAGTAACTATTAAAGCAACTATCAAATTAGTCACTAGTTATCAAACAAATGTAACTAAATTGAGTTGCAGTTACAGATGGAAAAACGGAACGAAGTTAAGTTATAGCTACCGAGGAAAAACAACTGTAACTTCGTTACGAGTAACGAGTTATTTCCCAACCCCGATAAATACACGGTATTCCGTCAGTTTTTTATATTTTATGAACAGTTTTAACGATCGATTTCTTAGCAATTGTATTTTTTAGCTTCTTGAGACCCTAACTAGTGTAATATAATTGTAATTACTTATAAATTCTTTAAATTTATTATTGCTAATAGTAAATAAGTAAACATAAATCAAATGTCTTTAAGAATAAATGTACGGCAAAGCGAAAAATTAACTATTCTTATCTGGGAATTGATACGCGGGGACCTTTTTGGGGCGCTGACGAATCCGTTGTCAGATTTTAGAAATTCACAATGGCGGCTCCGATATGGCGGACATAAAATTAAAAATTCAACCAATTTCCGTGAAATTAGGTACGTAGGGTTTTCTTGGGTTGCCGATTACGAATCCAATCAAATTTTCAAAATTCAAGATGACCAATCCAATATGTCGGACGGAAAACTTAAAAAAAAAAACTTCAATCTCCAGAAAAATTGGTATTGAGGGGTTTCTGGGTCGCTAATTATGAAACCATCATCATCTTTTCAAAATTCATGGTGGCTGCTTCAATCAGCGAATTCAATTCGGCGAAGCGAGAATTTTAAAAAATCTAAATTTCTATGCCATTTTGAATTTTGAAAATCCGACAACGGATTTGTAATCAGCGACACTAAGAACCTCTAGATCCCTAGCTTCACGGAAATTGGTTGAATTTTGAACTTTACGCTCGCCATTTTGAATTTCGGAAATCTGACAACGAATTCATAATCAGCGACCCAGAAAACAACCCTGGACACAAAGTTTCATAGAAATCGGTTAAGAGGAAAAATTCGTGGCTCAAAGGGTTAATCAAATCCCGTAACGTGCGGCGCAGTTACTCTGCGCTCGCGTCGTCGATCGCCGAGACGCCCCCGCCGCAGTTTCTCCTCGCGCTCGTCAATTAACGCCACCAAAGACCGCCGCCGCGGCAGCGGCGCTGCGCGCCGCGAGAGTGCGAGAAGGACGGGTTTATTTTCGTAGGCCCGCCGCGCGCGTTTCTCGAGAAGTTTCGAGTTTTATCCCGCTGGACGTCTTTCCCGCACGTTCGCTCGCGAGAATTCGCGTGAATCTTTGCGTACGGAGGACGCGACACGCGTGTGTCTTTTCTTTTCTTTCACCGCCGCAGTTTTTACGTGCCTTTCAGCCGCTCTCAAGAGGCCCTTTGCGCTATCGGTTCGAAACTATCGACGAGTCGAAAGTCGCGCACGCGACGCCGGATTTTCGCAATAAAGGCCTCCCCCCTATGGAAACTCTCTCCTGCGCCGAACGATATGCGAGGTCGTAAAAAAGCGCCCGAGTTCGACGGGAAAGCGGGGGGACTCCCAGCGGGGGAGTTGTTCATATCGATAACGTTTCGTCGCGACTTTTATCTTTCTCGGGAAACGCCGGCTTTTATGTCGTCCGCGTCCTCCTTGGCCGTCAGTCGATCGGACTTCAGGATTCGTGATCCTCTTTTCTTTTTCTCCGTCGATTTGCAGCTCGACGTCGCGTCGGAAAAATTCGCGGCTGGCCGGCGAAGACTCACTCACTCACTCACTCGCTCACTCAGCATGCGGCGAATGCGAGAATGTTGATATTCGTTTCATAACTCATTAGCGGTGCATCAAAACGCGCGTATCCGGCGGGAGATCCCGTCTTCTAAGGTCGAAATTAATTATCGATCGCCGCCGCTGGTGCGAGCGGACGTCGCTTGTCGCCACAACGCAAAACGGAGATAACAGACACACACACACACACACACACACACATACATGTGGTGCCTCGGTCGAAGACTTTTCACCCGGCACGGGACGGGCTAATTAACTCTCCGATGCACTTCGGGGGCCGAAATGACCCCGCATTCGCACACACACACGCGCACACACACACACGTACGCACGTACGCGCACACACACACACACACACACATACGCACGCACGCGCGTCGCGTGCAATTTGCTCAACGGGCGTACGATTTTACCGCTAGTACACGAGACTGGATAATCAGACGAGAGAGAAAAAGCGAGACAGCGAGAGAGAGAGAGAGAGAGAGAGAGAGAGAGAGAGAGGGAGAAAGAGAGAGAGAGAGAGATGCTACTCGTCGTCGGCTCGTCGCTCACTCCGGACAGCATCGATTACGCGACGAATCTGTTTGGCCGTCGCGTTAAATTATGGCGGCGCAAAGTGCAGGTGCCGGACGGCCAAGCGGGAAGCCGCGTGTCGGTGGGTTCGCTTTCAGCGTGAACTCGCTCTCGCTCGCTCGGGGGTCGTCGTCGTCGTCGTCGTCGTCTGTTCCGCCGACTACTCGGTGCGATCCGCGCGCGCGCAAACATCCGCTCCTCCGCGCTCTCTCGCAGCCACGTAGCTTTCAGCCGAGACGGAAACTACATTTGTTAACAGCGTTATGTCGGAGAGCACTCTGCTCCCCGGGCTTCTCGCGTCAACGAGCACCGAGCGAGAAGGGCTCCGTGCCAGGGAGAAGATTGAGAACTCTCTTCTCGGCCTGTATCGCGCGCGCGCCAATAACGGCCTTCGTAATATCACGTTTCTTCAGCTATCTATCCGCAAGTATTGATCTTCTCGGACGATCCGTCGGGCGTCGCGCTGTCGAAAGGCGTATCTGCCTCTGATTTTCTCACGCTGCGTGCACTCTCGCCCCGTACCCCGCCTTGCCCCGCGAACCGTGACCGCCGACTATCACGAGTACGCGTCGTTCTTATCTTAATTCCCCGGCAACGTCAATACATACACACGCACACACGTGGAGAAGTGGTTACGTGCGCGCACGTGTCCACTACCCGATG